GTGTAGGCTCCTAGGACGCTTTCTTATGGAGCTGGACCACTCCTTAGAGTTAATGGCACCCTTTTGGTGTTTTTTTTTTTTTTTTAAAGCCGTCATAAAGTCATTAATGTTGGAAAAGACCTCTAAGATCATCGAGTTCAATTGTCAGCTCCAGTTTGTTTGCTGAGGTCTAGAGAGAAACATAATGAAACATAACCTTTCTGTCATCAAATCAGCAAAATACAAGGTATGAAACAAAATGTTTATCAGATTGTATAGAGGGGACTGTTTCTTTAATACCATGGCTAATTTACATGTAAATAGCTCCACAACTGTATTTCTCAATTATATTGAAATTATTATTATTATTATGACATTCAGCATGGACAACTAACTTCATATTGAACATCTCCTTAAGTGTTAACAGAGAGATAGCAATGGAGCACAGAAGAGTATGTACATCAAGAAAAGAAGGCTGAAGCAGTAGAAACCTTAATGCTTTTCCTATTGTAGATTAGATGTTATAAGGAGATACTAACAAAGCTATGTTTTGGGGTTTTTTTCTGACATGGACCTGGTGCATGTGAGCTGGGAATGCTCCTCTCCTCTACCTCCTTACTGCTCTATCAGCTGTTGTTGCTCCCTCACAGAGGCTTACGCTTTTTAAAGATTGCTATCAATACAGTGGATAATAAGGGCCAAAGATTCTTTATGTAAGAGTCAGCTCTCTAACAGACACAGTGCTCAGAAATATATGATGTGTCCATAGTAAGTGGGTGTTCATGTGTCTATGCATGTGACTTATTTAAACTCCGAATACAATGTTCACATGACACTTTTCCTTCATCACACTCCTACAAAGTCTTTCTTGGTTCCTGATTATAGGTAACTGTGGACAGTGTTGCTTGATTCACTTATTTGCCTGTCAGACATTCTTCTCTTCCAAGGGCAATACACCTCCAATGTTGCTCTAATTTTGCAAGTCTCATTCTTGCTGTCACCACAGTGTGCTCCTCTACACATAGCATAGTCACTACATGTAATAGGGAGTTCAGAATCAATGTAGAATCCATATTACTGGAGTTACCAACATGCTAGGAGCCCATAGGTAGGGCCTCGACAGTTTGTAGCATTTGTCAAGGTTTGATGATCAACAATCATTGTTTCATTTGCAGCAGCAGGATTCATGCTATATGGATCATGCTATATTACGAAAGCTTCTTAATAGTACATGAAGAGGTACTCATAAGGAACATGAAAAAGTAAGGGGTTTTTCTGTGCTGACAGTGGAAGGCTCATGGCAAGTGATCCTGCAGGATCATGCAGTGCTTTGTTTAATAACTTGAATGCTTGTCAGGGTTTATCATATTACTCTTTATGTCCAGAAACATCTTGGATTGGTCATATTGATAATTTGTAATTATCAAGTTATTATTTAGTCATAATATTATATTCCACACGGAACTATAAGCATTATGAGAATATAAACTAAAACAATATAACAAACCCTCTCATTGCTGCAGTCTATTCTAGCTTTCTTCCTTCTAAAAGATTCTCTGTAATAATAATTTTTCTTGGTACAGTTGATACTTCTGTTCTGCTTCCATTGAGGACAACTACATGGTATTTTGGTTAATGTATGGCCAGTCTTCGCGAGCGAAGATTTAGGAAAGGTCATTAACCCTTCGAGCCTGCGCAATACTTCTGCCAAATCTCACTGCATTGCCTCCTAGTAATGTGTAAAAGCAACTACGGTCTTCCTCTTGCATGGACAATTTATTACACTGTGTATGTATCCTCTCTGTTGCTGCTCTTTGAGAATTGCTTCACAAGGTGAATTTTCAGCAGTTAAATCACCCAAAAGTCAGTTCTTTTTATGAGTTCATTATGCCTGTCCAATTTTTCATGCAACATTTTATTGACTGAGTCAGTTTATGTTGTGCTTCGAGATCTTTTACTTTTGTTTCCGGAGCACTATATTCATCAAGGCCCTGTTTTTCCGTCAGCATAATAAGGGTTATACTTCATTCCTTAAGACCTTCTACTAGATTCACAGGAAACTATTATTTCCAAATTTTCAAAGAGTCTTTTTTTGCTACTTTAGTTTAAAGTGTACTTTTCCTAATAAGGAGTTATTTAAATCTCACTTGGAAGACAATATTAACACCAAGAGAACTAGAGCATGACTTGAATGAAAAGACAGAGAGCAGAAGGATCAGGAATTCAAAAACAATCTGATAGCAAACATGATAAAGGGGCTGGAGAAGCACAGTTCTTCTATTAAAGTCCTTCATGTTAAATCTTACAAAATTATAATGAGATCTTACAGTGAGATCTATCAGAATCTCAAGGTGATCCTTAGCAAAGGTGATCCTTTGCTTTCCTTCCTCATCAGACTCCTTGTACTTCTGTTACTGCTTCTGTTACTGCTCCCTTCCTTTCTCCCTTTTTTTCTTTCACTTATCTTTTTTGTCCCAGATGGAATAGCCTACCCTGCTTCCCCACAGTCCTTTTGGCTGCCAAGTTCTCACATCTTTTCAAATACCTCCCTAAAACCCTACTTCATCAGGGAATTTTCACTCTTTATCCAAGCCAGATGCCTTTCTTGCTCTGAATATTTTCTCCATATATTCTCTTGTCTGTCTTAAGACCTGGATATCTAGTAGTCAAGGATTATCAGTAATTTTCTTTCTTGAGACAGAATGAGAATTCCTTACAACTTTATTTTGACTGAAATAGCCTAAGGGTCTCTCTATCCCTCTGTTGCTATTCAAAAGCTTCCCTCTTTTTTTAAAAAAATATTGTGTCAGGGGCAGGGGAAGGGCAGGGATCACCTCACGGATGGCAAGACAATGACTTTAAGGACTCCCAAGTTTCTAGGACTTGGTTTTCTATATAGTATAAAATTCCTTGAAACAGACAATTTTCCAATAAGACTGTAATATCTTCTCCTTTGTCCTACTTTCATGAAAATTAAAGGTGTGCCTTCAATAGTGTTAAAGGAATTTTCATTAAAAAAAATAGTACCACTGAAATCTGTGGAGATTTTCCGCTACACTGTTTACCTAGACAACCACTGCCTTCAAGAACTACATAAAAAATATAATTGTTTCAAACCAAACATAGTAACTGCTGCTGCTATTAGTAGTCCATTTTCAGGGGCTTTGAAAGGCCATGCAACAAGTTCATTTCTCTTGTTAAAATTCTTTCTCGGTGAAATACCGACTACAACTTTGCTAACACTTTAAGCAATGTTCATAAAAAGATCAACTAATACTCTTGTGTTTCATCCCAGTAAATTTCAATGGTACTGCTTTGGCATGTAGCTGGGGTAACATGATAGTGATTCAAGCCCAGAAAGAAAGGACCTCCTTGATTACCTGTGCAATATTTGCAGAGTTTAAGTCTTCATTTATTACTGTCCAGATCACAAGTCACCATACTCATGTACAGATGTAAGAAAGACATATAGCAGATATTTCACCATCAGATGGAGACTTTAATACTATGAACATAATTACAAAGACACTTAATTTTGAAAGGATAATTCTTGTGCTCACAGAGAGATTGTGTTATTACTAAGTGTGTACATTGTGGAGAGAAATCCCCTCCTGACTTTGCTTCTGAGTCAATAAACTGGCAGTTGAGGAACAAATGGGACTACATTCTGATTTTTTTTCTGGTTTGGTCACTGTCATGTACTGTGAACTACTGTGCTCTTGTAAGGGATTCCAAAGGGTATATCTCTTTACACTGGCATCTCTTGTGAACAACTTCAGTGTGTCATCAGATTGATCCAAAGCTCAAGGCATTTGAAAAAATGGGAACTTAAAAGTGCCTACTAGATGTTACATTTTGATCATACTGAAACATTAAAATTGACAAAAAAAGACCATCGAAAGCTTTCTTTTACCTGTCAAGACTGTCAAAGAGGAACTGAACTGTATATTTACAATGTTGCTGAAAACAGTATTAAAATAGTTTAGACATTCTAAACAGAATGTATATATGCATGCAAAGGTTGAGTTGGTCCTTCTCCTATACTCCTCTATTATGCTGGGTTTTCCCTTTTTTTGCGTTATATTTCAGTCATTCTTTGCTTGGGCTTGCAGTTGTAGGCAGCATAAATAGGGCAGGATTTGCAGTCCTGTGCTACCAAAGGATGCCGGGAAGACAAGAGAACCAACCACCCACATAGCACACATTCAGAGGAGAGTGGCTTCAGACTAGCCCTAGTGTGCTTTTAAGAGATGAATGGTTAGTGATTGGATCATACCAGACACAGGCCAAGTGTTGTCCCTTCTGGCTTAGTGTTCTGTGTGTTCATATTCTTCCAATTATAATACTGACAAAATATTAGGGACTTTAGTCTCCATATAGCAGATATAAGTCTGATGAGCTGAACACACCAGTGGTGCCTCTGTGCTACATAGTGCCAAATAGTAAACTATTGTTTATTAGTATTATTTATTAGTAAACTAGTGTAGTAGAAAAGTCTAATGAAAGGAGAAGTAGTAGGTTTTGTAGGTGAATTTTAATTTTTTTTAATGTTATACACGTTACATTTGTGTAGCATCATGAACAAATTTAATAGTCTAAGAAATACATCTGGAGAAAGATACAGAAAAGTATCTATCTGCTAACTACTCATAAGTGCTTTTGTTATGGCCACAAAAAACAGAAAATGCAAAGAGAGCTTGCCATCTAACATTTAGAAGACCACAAAAATTCAAACTGTACCTGTAAAGTATATAAAAAAGGCAAATTTTCATAGCACTACAGAGAGCTTCAACTGAAAATAGGAATAGATCTTTATGGACATGAACTTTTAAAATTAGTTAGCTATGTACCAGACATTAAAGATTCCTTATCACAATTAATCAAATTAAACTTTTCTATGTTATTCCTTATATTGTTAATGCAAGCAAGTACCTCTTATATAATCAGAAAGCAAAAAGGTTAATGAATCATTTGGACAATAAAACATTTAAGAACTCAGGTGGTCTTTTCAGATTCATTTGAAACTGTTAGATTCTGCACCTCAAGAAGCATTACGAGTTCTTTTGTGGGATTTTGATTGTGACAGTCTTAACTTCTGTGTATTCATGGAGTCCATATTCTCCCCTAGATAAAAGAGAACCAAGAGCAATATTTATTCTAATGCTTTTTATATGAGTTTTATTCTGGATGGGATTTTCAGTGATGCTGTGCAATTGGCCATACACATATAACAAGTACACTGGACATATTTGGAACACAGCAAGAATGGCATTTAATTTAGAGTATTTCTAAATTGCATTTCTGTGCAGCAAATCAAGAACATATTAGATCTGCACAAGCATGCTCAACAAGTTATTTGCAAAGGTCATAAAGGTCTTCTTCTAAAGCCAAGAATTTTCTCCAGCATTAAAGAATAGACACTTCATCTCAAGTAAATGGAGGACATAATTGATCCATGATGAAAACTCTCAGACAATGAAAAAAACTTTAATATTTGACATGTTTTAGCATGATTCACCTTTACATTTTCAATGATGAGTTGAAGCTTGTTTGTGTGCCTAGATATTTGACATCTGACACAGACAAACTAGACATAACTGATTGCTTTACAGAACATAGATTTGCTACAGTATAAAGTTCTGCCGTTCTCACTGCCATGTTACTAGATAGGCATACAGGCAAAACAGAAGTCTCTGGTAAGGACCCTTGTACTAGGGGTATATGTTTACTGATTCCCTTAATTTTTGAAGAGGCATTCTGTTAGTATGTGACATTCAGTAGTTTAATTCATAATGGTATTCTCATTCCAAGAATTATACAGGGAATTTAATTCTGGGGTTCAAGGAAGTGGCTTGACACTGAGTTCCTAATTATTTCAGTGCAGCTGTTTCACACATATTTCTGCCTCTCCTAAAATTGACTGCTGTATATTTACATTTTTTTTCCAAACAGACACCTATCTGGTGATAATTCTATCCTTGTCCTTTAGCAGGAATATTTTTATTGGTCTGATAATTGTGACTTTGAACCAAAAAACTTAATTAGCACAAAAGCTTAACTCCTTCCAAATGCACTGTTATAGAAAATATTTTTGATAGTCTCTTATTGTTTTTCTGTTATTTCCAGTGAATGAATTCAAAAAATATTTCTGCTAAAGACTGTGATTCAGAATTCATTATGTCCAATTTTTTGGCACCCACCAAATGCAAACAAGTATTTGATAATAATGGTCTAAATTATTGCATTTTTCCATTTTGCAGTTTTCTAAAGTTCTCAGCATTGACTTGAGTCCATTTCCTTTGAAGCTTTACCATAAGGAGCAGACTGTGTCCAGTGATAGAAACTATGAAAATACTAGTCTTTATCTCTTAGAAAAAATACATAAAAAGAAGCTCTGAAGCACCTCACCTACACATATATTTTTTAATTACTTCTATCATTCATTAAAATTTTTATGCATTTGTCTTAATAAAAAGGAAAGCTTACAAGTATTGATTTTTAGTTATGGCTTTAAAAATAATTTTTTGTTCCTATATATGTGGCATTTTTAACAAAGGACAAATAAAGGTAAGACAGGACATGATTCAAGTGGAAACTGGACTAAAACTTAGAGGTTTGAAAAAATTTGATTAGTTTATGATTTTTGTATAATACTCCACTTCTATTTTGGGAAAAAAAACAAAGGTCCAAAGGACTGTTTTCATCATAACTTTTGACCAAGCTGGCATGTACTCTAAAAACATTGCTGTCACAAGGCTTTAACTGCAAACTCTTGTTTAAATCTAGGATTTTGAAAAGTCTCTTCTTTTCCAAAGCCTAGCATTTGAAGGGGATATCATAAACTACACACATATATATCTTCATGAAAATGACAGTTTCTCTATACATACAAAAACTGTAAACCAAAACCAAAACGGCCAGTTTTGCTCATCAGTAGATTGCAAGCTTCTAAAGCCAGTAATTTTGAAAAAGGTATATCTTATCAATTTTCTTATTTGTGGAGGAATTGTTTGGTTGATATTGCCTCTGACAACCTGAAGCCTCTAAATACTAGCCTAATGTGACAAAATCTCAAACTGGACATCCTAGTTATGCATATTTAAAGTTAGGGTTTGGAATTTCGTTTTGTAGTTCCTGTGAATCTACATTTTTTAAAGTATTTACTTACATTTCTCGTCCATTTCCTGACATCTTAAAACCTCCAAAAGGACACTGAGCAGACACTGCACTATAACAATTAACCCTGGAAGAACAGAAAAATTATTTTGATAGTGTGAAGAAACTTTTTTCACTTCTGCAAAATCAATGTTTTTTCTGTAAGAAACCTATGGTGATAGTCACAAACTAGAACTAAGTAATATATTTGCAAAAATAAATGTAGTTTAAGGTTCAGAGAAATTAAGCATTAAAATCAACTACAGTTATAAGCAGGGTAATAATACTCACGAAGGGTCTTCAAGCACAGTGACCATCATACCTTTCTCTGATAGCCTCAATAAAGCTCCTAACTCGTACATCAGCTCTCAAACAAAACACCAGCCAAACCTAAGTCTTCTGCAGGTCCACTTCTTATTGATAAACTCATGATAGCTTCAGTATATGTTTAGGAAGTTTTGTTTGATTCTACTCAGTTAAACCATGTTCTGTATTGTAGTTGACAACAAGATACAATGAGTAAGAAAGGAACTTCAAAGGGGAGTTTGTAAGTATGAAGAATTTTGGCAGAATGTGCATCCTGCTTCCTGACTGAGAAGCTCTTTTTGTCTTACAACCTTGTCAAATCAAATATTCTCTATTTACATATTTTATAATCTCTTCTGCCAGTCTGCTGGTTTCAACAGAAGAGATTCTGTTCATAGTTAAGGACTCCTAGACCACCAATCATGTAAGAGCAAAACCCAAAGATTCTACCTCTGTTTGAAACTTTTTTCCATATAAAGAATAACAACTCCTAAGTCAAAACTGTTAACTTATTTTTAGAAAGTACCTGGTTTTAGGTCACAGGACCTGGGCAGGAATTTTTGCTCATTGCAAGTGCTTTCTGATAAAATGTAAATTGGTCACAGGTTTTGCATTCAAGTAAAACTGGTTGTTCTTCTTCTGATGCATTGAAATAATTGTAGGGAAAGGCAGGTCTTTGTCAGTGATAGTGTCTAGACTTAGTCTGCTATGCCTCCAAGCTTTCACTCTTGTATCTCTTATCCTTTTATTTTCCAGCTCTATGTAGGTTGTCTCTTCTTTTCCATTGCTGGAAATAGTTGGCCTTGTAGCAGTTCTCCCTCAGCTTGTGTTTCCTTCCTTTGTTCAATCACATTTTATCAATTTTTTCCATTACAGATGGATGTTCTGCCCAGGCTAATAACCACAGGACTTCAGATAACTAATTTCTTTACACAATACCGAAAACGATCCACATAAATTATGTATTCACAGAATCACAGAATATGCTGAGTTGGAAGGGACCCACAAGGATCATCGAGTCCAACTCCTGGCCCTGCACAGAACCATCCCCAAGAGTCACATTATGTGCCTGAGAGCATTGTCCAAATACTTCTTGAACTTTGGCAGTCTTGGTGTTGTGACCACTTCCCCAGAAAGCCTATTCCAGTGCCCAACCACCCTCTGGATGAAGAACCTTTTTCTAATATGCAACCTAAATCTACTCTGACACAACTTCAGGGCGTTCCCTCAGGTTTGTCACTGGTCACCACAGAGAAGAGATCAGTGCCTGCCCCTCTTCTTCCCCTCATGAGGAAGTTGTAGACTGCAATAAGGTCCTCCCCTCAGTCTCCTCTTCTCCAGGCTGCACAGATCAAGTGACCTCAGCCACTCCTCATACGACTTCCCCTCAAGGCCCTTCACCATCTTTGCTCCCTTCTTCTGCATACTCTCTATTAATTTATCCCCAGATCCTGAACGTAAAGAAAGAGGGCACTCTCACTGTATTTTTTTGTTGTTTCCTTTCCTTTTTAGCAAGTCAATTTCCTTTTTTAGACTAAGTTTACAGGCCAATTGTGTGAAGACTTTCAAGACATAAGTATTTAATAGCACATTAAGTAGGGAAAGGTGAGGGGAGGAGATACAGAGGATGACAATGATCCACCTCTACAAAGATGACAAGAAATAAATATAAAAATATACTACCCAAAAAAGTGTGAAAATGTCCTACAATCATTGCCATTGACACCTGCAGATCTAAAGGAAGAATTTAAAAAAGCATGACTTACCATACTGTTCCAGCCTGAAGAGCAGCTGCAAACGTCAATGCTTTATCAATGTCTTTGGTAAAAACTGCTGCTGCTAAACCATAGGTAGTATTATTTGCTCTCTTGATTACTTCATCTATAGTTTTAAACTTCATGATTTGTTGAACAGGTCCAAATATCTGTATCAAACACATGTAAGCTTTTAAAGTGGACTAGAATAACTTACTATTTTAAGTAATTTATATTTATTAAATTTACATCTATTAGATGGTTTTGTTCCTGAATTCATTCAGCCAAGATTGTATATTTCAGGAAAAATTTCTAAAAAATACTGTAAATTCACATAAAGATTTTTGAAATATGATGTAAATCAAGATAGCCTATCAAAAAATGATTAATAAAACAATAAATAAATAAATTATGAAAACAAATAACAAGGATTAAAAGACTCCCTCCATAAAGGTAGCTAACATGGTGTCACACTCTGCTAGATATCTATATTGGTTACCAACAAATGGGTATTTTCTTGGCAAACTCTAGTTTTAAAGCTGAGAAAGACATGCAATTTTTCTTCACCTAAATTTTCTATTAGACTTTTATCTCTGTAGGTAGCTGCACAATTGGGAATGTACTCCAAGTGGAACAACTAAATCTGCTTTCCATATGGGTGTTAGGTGAGAAAACAGTCCTTCAGGTTCCGCTTTCCTGCTACCATCACTCGGTGTCCTCAGCCAGAGGTGCCATGCCCACCACAATATGCCAAGACTGTGTAGTGTGAGGGGACATTACTACATCCAATTACTTCTATTCCAACAGATTGTGAGCTTTCTACCTGACTGAGTTTTAATGTTAGTTTCTAACTAGTGTTGCAATAGTTGATTTACATAGGTCAGAAAACCACTGAACATTCCCCTACTATTCAAACTGTGAGCTTCAAAACTTGGATATTCTTTAAATTGTCTTGGCTATCTGGGGTTTCATTTTTCCTAACATTTAAAATAATGTGAGAAGCAGTCATTTTACTGCTGACCAAAGAGAAACTAATAGAGCAGCAAAAAACCCCATAACACTGTGGTTTATTACCTGACTCCTGGATGGTAGAAACAATACAAATTCTGTCTCATAGAGGTCTCTCCTGTTTTACAGCTTTCTCCTTGTCACAATTAACTCTAGCTGTTGTGGTGTTCATTTTAACTAGGGCTGTTGACTCTTGGTGGATGTAGTAGGTATGTTCATCAGACTGCATCAGTAGTATTGTTGGCTTTGTAAAGCAACAGTTAGGAGGATTTTGAAGGACCTTTTTTTATGAAGAAGTATAATGGACACCAATTGCAGCCCAGTTGCAGCAGTTATTAATCAAGATGAATATAAAAAAACATAGAGAAAAGGTTATGACTGGACTTTGAGGCTGTGTTTACAGAGCTAGTTGACATAGCAGCTCTGCACTCCTAACTCTGCTGTTCCTTGCAGACTTTCACTGATGCCCTGGCACTGTCACCTCAGTTGGGTCACTAAAAGATTCTTCAGTCATGTGTAGACACACTTGCAAACTGATCTAAGTTAAATAACTCCACAGAGGCAAAACTCTGTTGTACAGTAATTGCCACCAACTACAGGCATGTGGAAGCACAAATCAACTAGTTTCTCATATTGCAAAATAGCTGCCTGGTGCATGTTGTGTCCAAACACTAAATTAAGTGGCTCCCTAGGCAGTGTAAATTGTTCACAAGCTGTACCTCCACTGTTTGCTTCTCTGTTACTGGTCACTGTGATGCTGGTATGTGACGCATAGGCAGTATGGGCTGATGTTAATAATCCAAACCTCAGCATTTATCTGCTTCCACCCTAAATAGGACAACTCGTTGGCAGGCCAGTCTCATACTCCTCTCCCTCACCACAACGAAGTTGGTGAAATGGGCATCAGAAACCAACAAAGGCACTTTAAACACCACCAAGATGGAACAACAGACTTATTGAGAGCATTTTTATGTCATTGCTTGACCTTCTAAATGAGTATTTTGTACAGACATTTAAATAGACAACCTTCAGTGAGAGAACAGGTGGCTAAAAATTTATTTACCTCTTCTTTGGCGATGCGCATATCATCAGTAACATTAGAAAAAACTGTGGGCTGGATGAAGTAACCCTTGTCTCCCCATGGACCTCCCCCACATTCCAGTTTGGCTCCTTCTTTTTTCCCACTCTCGATTAGCTCCAGGATTTTTTTATACTGCTCCTTGTCAATCTAAATGAAAAGATATTTCAGGGATGAAAACAGCACACACTGATAACAGTTGATCTTCTAACTCACTAATCTAAACTTAACAATGTTCCGACTTTGTTCAATTACATGTGTTGAAGTGGAACAGGTGGTGAGCACTGCTAATATTCTTGTCACTAACTTCTCAAAAATTTGCAGGCTTTTCTCAAATAGACCAATAATCAGAAATTACTTCCAGAGTGACTCTTGCATAGATTATTCTTCTCTGTGATCATACACGTCAGTTAGCGGAGCAGAGTAGGTGTGTATCTTATTCTCTTATTTGTGCAATAAAAATGTTGAGTTTCAGTCTGAGCAACAAGTTTTACTATGGTCTTAGAACACAACAATATTTTCAAAGGTTCTGGGGAATTCTGGACACGTATTAGACTAAACAGCTATTTAAATAAAGCTGTGATAAAAGTTTATAGCTATAAGGATATGGATTTATAAGGAGATGACTTTTAGTTCACTGCACTCTCTTTGTCATTTTACTTTCAAAGAAATGTTTGCCTTACTGGATGCTGAAGACATAAAATTTCTGCTACCCTGGTGGCCACATAAACATCTTGGAGAGAAAACAAGGTTTATATGATACAGCTCATGTTGTCAGTCCTTCCTTTGTTATTATCATTATTATTTTTCTTATAATGCATATATAGGATCTTTTGAATTTCAATAGGGCTTTTGACTCTGCTTTGGTGTCCAACATGCAGTGTTACCCAAATTTGCTGTCTAGGGCAGGTGCGGCCCCAGAGGGCCTGTGAACTGGGCAACAAGTATGTCTTTTTCTCTATGGCAAGACATCACAGTGAATAAGCCTGATACAGGCTATCGGTTTTTGTTTCTAGGAACAATCAGTCAAAGCACAAGCAATTTGAAGACAAAGAGAAATATTTAACATAATTACCACAAAAGAAACTACACCCAAACCACAATTTTCCATTAAAAGGGGTCATACCAGTTCTAAAAGCAGTAACTTTGCTAATCTGTAAAATTGTTAAGTTTCTGCTAAAGTTTGCTAAGAAGAAAAATAAGTCAATAATGGCAAATGATGAGACTAGAGGAGAAAAAAAATCTTTCTGTTCTTTAAAATATTTTCATTATTGTTTTTTCACATTTAACCTTCCTTATTTTTTTAGTAGAAGTTTACTTACATTTTTCATTCAAATTGTTAGTTTGAATTTCAAACTCAGTAAAGCCACAATAACCTGACAGAAGATCTCTGTTAATTTTATATTAGCTGTACAACCGACACTTGGAATTCACTTGTTTGAACCTTCCTGCCCTTGGCCTTTTAAAATTTATTCAGATGAATCTATTATCTTGTATCAAAACATAGGGAAACATTGCAGGAAAATAAAATAGTATACTTCCTTAATATTTTTAAATTTCCCAAATCTTGTGTGGCTTGGAATGTGTTTTTTTCCAATTTACTTGGTGTCTTTTATTACCTAAAATGACTATGATAACCAATGAAGAACACGTTATACTATCAAATGCATGGGAATTGCTCTGTCTCCAACTTTTTCCTTTCTCTAAAACAGTTCTTTTATTCTGTGATAATCAAATGTACACATAATAGCTCTGCCTGCAGTATAAACTGATATGGAAATAAGATTAGATGAAAACTAATTTAACAATAGTCTGATGTGATCCATTGAATTCACAGCATTGCAATAACCATAGTTATTAATGTTGCATTTTAGCATTCATTTGATGGGGAAACTACTGGCATAACCTTTTAACAAAAGCAGGAAAAAATAATAAACTGTTGTATTTAAATTGTGTAATATTCTAAAACTGAGAGCAGTATAATGAAGGTCTAGCACCTTGAAAAAGGGGGAAAGACACTAAAAGTCTTATTTCCTCAAGCTAGTCACTTACAGTGGCACTATTTGAATATGTAGTTAGCAACCTCTAACATGATATGGGTGATTGTAATGCACTTTTACAGCTGATGCATTGGAGGTTTCTCAGAGCACTTCTATTTTTTATAATTGTTCTCCTCACTAATAAAAGGAAGTAGAAAAGAGGAGACCTCACCCTTTGGCTTATGATAGTGTTGTAAACAACAATCTCTCCAGTTTCTTCCTCCTCGTCCTCTAGACTATCCACTAGAAAACCATACTTAGCCTTGAAAGTACTGCAACACTAGGTTTATAAGCACATTAAATTGCGATGTTGCGGCATAATTATGGTGGAAACATGTAACATTACTTACTTGAGGGCCTTGCTGTACATCAGGCAACAGAGGATTCCCAAGAGTATACTTCTTTGCTCTTTCAATGCTTCGGCGAACAAACTCATCATAAATAGGCTCTTCCACAAAAATCCTAGATCCTGCTATACAACACTGTCCCTGGTGATAGAACACACCAATATGCGCAAATTCCACCGCGGTGTCCACTGCAAAGAAATGCAGAGTTCGTCAGATCATAAACATAAATTTTCACATCATAAATTCTTTACTAGGCTTTGTCACTGCATCTCATTTCCCTTTTTAGCACTTTTTATTTTTATGATCCTTTAAACCATGTACTTATGTCCAAACTACTCTTATCAAGAGCAGCATGATACACCTAGTTAAACACACGTTAAGCTGTTCTAGGTGAAATGTAGATCCAATGTTATTTGCTGTGTCAGCAGTAGCAAGAGGAGTATTTAGCTAGAAATGTAATAAACCTGTATAAATCTACTTTTGGTTCTGCATTCATATTGCATTAGCATGATCATTACATTAAGGGTGGACAGGTTGTCAGAGATCCATACCTATTCAGGAGCCATTAGGTTTTGGTGGCAATCTAACTTAAAACTATGGCATGACCAGAAAACATTAAAAATTACTCAAATAATTAAAATTAAAAATTACTTGAAACAATTTACTGACAGAGAAAAGAAAAAGAGAATTAAATTTGCAATAGTAGTAGTTTATATAATAAAATTGCTACTAACAATCTGCATCCGCAAATATAATGTTAGGACTTTTTCCTCCAAGTTCCAAGGTAACTCTCTTCAGATTGCTCTTTCCGGCTGCCTCTTTAATCAGTTTGCCAACCTAGAAGGTAGGGAGAGGACAGCTTCATCTCAAAAAGGTTATAATGACCTCAAAAACTTCTCTGACTTCCTCAGAAGTGAAAATCCATCCACAGTTATCTACTATCCCAGCAACAAAATGAAAAATAAATTAAAAAAATATTGAAGAATCAGGGTGCAGGTGACTTGTAGCCTATGAATCAGAACTGTTCTCTAGAATAGTTTCCCCCTGTATACATTCATATTGTTGCCTAAAGATTAAGGAGAAAAAACTCACAAGGCAAATTTAGTATAGGTAAGATATCGAGCAGGTCTTTAATGAAGGCATTCTGGTGCAAGGAGTACAAAAGTGCTCACACCCATGTCCAGGGGTTCCACAACTTATGGTCTGATCCAAGAACTATCTGCCCCCAGATCCTCCTCAAACCTGCCCCCCTGGCATGTCTCCCCAGAAATTGAATTGCACATCCTAAGACCCCTTTCTTCCTCATCTTCCTCTTCTTCACAGCACGTACTGTCTTTGGAGCTTCTCCGAGGTTCCAGGGTTGAAGGTTGCTTTGACTATGATGCTACCTTGTTGTTCAGGCCTGGGGTGCATATGCGCTTAAACAGAATGTGTTTACTATAGTCCTGCCTTGAAAGGAGCCTAAACAAGCCTAAAAAATTTAGAAAATTCTGTATGAAATAGGGGAATAGGGTTTGGTGAGTGTTAACTACTATTCTAAAGGGCGACAGACTACACAGCTACATTAAAATCTACAAAAAGCTAGAAATCCTAAAAATCCTGAGGCATCAATGTTAACTGCTTTTTGGGTTACCGCCACTATACTTGCATATGTCTGTAACGTAAAGTAGGCACTGATTTCTGCTCCGCCTGTTGCTCCCATTAGGTTGAAATTTCTCTGTTTTATACATGGAAAAGCCCTCTGATGCACAAAGATGTAGGAAAGAATCTACATTGCCTGTATGGACACTTCCTTGTTCCAATTTCTCCCTTAAAAGAAAGAAGAGGAGGAAATGGATACTGTGAGGTAGAACCCCTATGCCACTTCTTTCTACTGGTGACGTAATTTAAGGAACTACTTACTATGAATAGCCCTGGAAAAACTGTGAAGGAAAAACATGCTTGTAACTCTTGTGGCTTTGGTCTCTGACTGCCTGTGTATAGCAGACACCAGATAAACTTCCTCCCTTTGTCAACATTCCTGCCATCATTTCTCATTGCTAAATTGCACTGCCAGTAGAGGACTGTCACCAAAATCTATAAATACACCCCTGGGTCCATTTGCCTTTGGAGGGTCATGGGGCACTGGGAATTGTAGTTGTTACTGTCTATTGGGAACATCTGTGAGATATTTCTTTTGTGTCTGGGGTTTGGGTTGTTTTCTTTTCCCATTACTTCAGAACTAAAGGTTTCTAAGAGTAAACATAGCTCTTGCATTCAGTGTGTACTGATCCCTGACAAAAGGGAATGATATTTATCTTTGGAGTCTATATCCAAGAAGTTAAGAGACCAGATGGCAGCTTTTCCATTTAGCATGCAAGCAGACAGACAATATAATGAACTGTATTAAGGATACAACTATATAATGCCTGCAATGAGAAATCTTCAATTATATCACTCACAGTTCTTCAGGGTGAAGGTTAGGGAAAGTTAACAGTGACCTTTCTTTTAATTATTAAACTAATACATATCCAAATACTCTTCTAAAACCCCCCAGATGATCCTAAGTATCATTGAAATACCAAAAAGCCATCTCCTCATCTAAGTGTGTGCAGAACCAGGAATGAGATTTCTTAGGTACCTTCCTACCATCCTGTTGTTATTAAAATTAAAGGGAACAGAGCTTCTTAAAAAAAGGTGTAAATTGTGTTATGAAAATGTGCTGGTTTAAACGCATAAGACTTAAAATAGCCTTGGTATACTAGAACCTAGTTATCTCATTGACTACCTTTGTTTGAAGGGCTTGCCAGCAACAGCAAATACTGTTTAGATATGTTTAAAGTTAACAATAACCAACAAATCATTAAACAGAATTTGTTTAACAGACCATCAGTCAAAAGAAAGATGAGAGTTAAAATAATTACATAGAACAAGTTAAGACATTAAATCATTTGTGAGAATCAGAGGGGTACATTTCCTGCTTATATTTTCTTGCATTCATTACAGTACCTCTGTAGAGCCTGTGAAAGCTACTTTATCTATATCCATGTGGTGAGAAACTGCTGCTCCAGCAGTGGGTCCAAAGCCTGGCACGATGTTCACAACTCCAGGTGGAAATCCTGCCTGAATTAGAAGAAAGAACTCTGTAAATTTGGGGAAGGATAATGACTAGAAGAATACGTCTCTGGCAGTTTTACTTCCCGTCTCCAGCCATCTTTTCTCAGCCGTACATTTATTCTCAGCCCTACATCCCCAATTGTTTTCATTCTCACAGTATTTATGCCCTTTTAGTTCCTTGTTGGTGCCATTTCCAAAGAAATACTTTTTTTTTCTTTTCTCACTCAGTCAGATGTGCAAAGAAAGACTGCTTATTTTCATGTCTGCTTCATTAAAGCTGTTTAAATCAACATGTGTACTTGCTGACTTCTGCACATTGAAAAATATGCTAGATGGGATTTAATTAATGATCTGCTGACTAAAATTCTATTAAGAAAAAATGATGGAAATATCAAACTCAATGTCTTTGCTTGTTCCTCTGGATGTAGGTTGAGAGTAGAGTGGGCAACATGACAGTTTACAGCAAAAAAGAGGCAGATCAGCTACCAAGCATGAAAAAGCGGGTCACCTGAGATATGCACACTTCCAATATCCTGCACATCTTTTCTGCAAATAGACTTTTCTTGTTGTTCAAATCTATGATTTCCCTTCAATCCTGTATTAGTTATGTTCCATTCATAAGCAAAATAAGCTATTTTCTTCCAGCAGGTTGTCAGGTAAACTCCAAGGATGTTTGAAGTTTAGCTGGATTTTTTGTCAGCAGCTATGGGATCTTAATGGCACTTGCAGAGCAAACATTGAATTAAAATATTAAAAAGATTAATCTCCTGCATTATGACTTAAATGAGTCTCTTTATAGCATTAAACAGGACTTCTATATTACATGCCAAAGTTTCAATTTTTATTTGGAAAATGGTGAATTTCAGGTGGTGAGTTACAGCTCCTAAAACTTAATGCCCTGTGTTATCAACACAAGAGTGTTACTTTTATTCTACCAATTTTTATTCCTGACAATTTCATGCTCAGATACACTCTGTCCATGTTTGTTATGCTCATTTAATATTCTAGATTAATATTTACCCTGAAATTGATGAGGCAGTGAGGTTCCTTTAATTTGCTTAGCATTGTATTTCATACTTAATTTGTAGAGAAAAGTAAGAAAAGTAATTTTTTATGGAACTAATTCACACTGTGTCACTTTGAACATTTAATTTCCATGTTTGTTGTAGAAGCTCTTCTCTATATATTAAAAAGGGAGACTTGTGAGGGCTGATAAGAACTATAGTGAAGATTACCAAAAGCGATAATATTTTTTTTTAATGTGGACACTTGAGAAGTAGAAAGTTAAATTAGACCTTCAGCTATTTTCACAAGTCTAAAGCAGCTATTGAAGTGATGACTGTCAGAGATTTGCCTCCAACTTTGTGTGTATAATCGGATACTGATCACATTCCCAATTATGAGCATTCTTTTCAGGAAATCAGAATATCAGAATAGATAGTTCATTAAACTGATAGGAGAATTGAGTTACTTTCCCTGTAAAGTTACTTTTTTCAGAGACATATACTTTCTGATACTTATTGTTAAAAATTAATAGGGAAGGTGTCTCGAATATTTGTTAGTGCAAATCCTTGTCCCCAATATTATCTAATAGCATTTACTATGTGATGCAATAACAGCAGGACTTGGGTCCATCCTGATAGTCATTTAGTTTCTGTGTAATATTAATACATAATCAGTCAGTATGCTCTGCTGAATCATTGTTTTGAAACAGATAATAAAATGTGCCAAGTCATTTCCATTAAAACTCTGCAAGGTTACTGCCCTGGTGATTATTGACATCTGTGCCAACTTTTGAAACATGTTAGATTATATTTGTTGATTTTGTTGGGAAGAGAGCTAAACTATTTAACTATTCTCTTTGGGTGTTTACTGGCCTGGGCACCATAGTTAACTCTGGAGACATAGAAGAAACTAACACACTCTCGTGTTCAAAAGCACAAAGAGTATTCTCACAGTTTCTGTGTGAACAGAGTTCACAGGTTTGGCAGCACTCACTAGTATGATTTTACATCTCCTTGTTAATAATAAACCCAGGTGGATGAAGACTTTGTTCAATTAAAAAGAAAAAAAGCTGTACAAACAGGTTCTTCTCTGTGATAACTATACTAATAAAGTCCTTGCCACCCACATCCATGAGTTCTTGCTTCCTTTTGACTTTGAAAGGTACTGTGCTTTTGTAATGCAAATATATTTCTGAAAGAATGGAGTTTTCTAAATGGCTGTTGTGGGGTTTTGTATGTGTGTACTAGGCTGAAAGATATGCATACTTTTGCCCTAGATTGTCTTTACTGGTTTACAGTAAGACAAGTTCCACAGTGCAAGGCTAGGCATGCAATGAAAAGTACTGGCAGAGGCCAGCCTGATTATATTACCTCTGTGGCATTTCAGCTGCAGTATACTCTTACATTTCTGAGAATGGCAAATAACTTTGCTGCTTATGACTTACCTCTTTAATTAAGGCTCCCATGTAAAGGGCAGTGAGTGGAGTTTGTTCTGCTGGTTTGACAACCACGGTGTTTCCACAACAAAGGGCAGGGGCAATCTTCCACATGAACATAACCAATGGGAAGTTCCACTGAAAGACAGATGAGAAAGTGTATCTGATTTCTAATACATCACCAAAATGCCTCAGCTTTTCTTGTTATAATAGTGCAAATTGTCAACTCGATGTTGAACTCTTTGCTGAACTCCTTTCAGAATGAAGATATTTTGAAAAAGCAACTGGCAAACCACATAACACAAAGACTAGTGATTTTTGTATACGTAAGTACAGGGAATCAAAGGTCAAGAAACAGTAAGTGTACTCCCCTAACAGCCTTACCTACGGTTGTTGAATTAGTGGTGCAACTGAGGGTTTTGCTATTGTAAATGATTACATCCCTCATTAATTCAGTTTTCTAAGGGAGGCAAGGTAATAACAAACAATGCTACCCCATCCCTCTTCCCTGGAAATTTCAATGGTGGTTATTGGTTGTGGTCTGTCCAGACAGACTGCAGAGCAGCTGACTGCTTTGGACCCCGTGTTCTGCAGTGTGAGGGATAATGTGATCAGTATAAAAACTCTTTGCCCCTTTAAACATATTTCTAATAGTTTGGGAAGCATTGAGTCCACAAGCCTCAGCTCATAAGACACCTTTATAAATGGGAAAAAAGGCAGTTAAGAGCTTCCTATTATATCAAAAAGGCTTTGAGGAATATACATGCAACTATTCTTTTTCTCTCTCCTTGTCTCATTTCAGTCTCACCCTATCAGCAAAAAATAGTGGGAGCATAAATAACACAAACTGAGGAATTACAGGATTTTCTGAATATTCATTATTAAAGTAGGATTGTGTGAGAGAAAGGAAATGGAAATGTTGAGCTATCAAAAGTGGTTTGCAATATTCACATAGTCCTCAAAATTTTGCTTTATGTGGAAACCTCCAACTTGGTGGTTCTTTTTTCAATGAAGAGAAAATTAAGACATACTCAGAAATCCTTGAACATTTTATCAGGGAAAGCAGTGTTTGTGCTAACTGCTGCTTATATTTCCAGTATGTAATTTTATTAAAATGGTCACATCTAGTGTTTATAGTTCTTTAGCTTATCTTAACTGAGTGTTTTACTTGAAATATTTTGTGTCTGACCTACAAGAGAATCTAAACCATCAGTTTCCTAGCTCTCCTAGAGACTGGATCCAAACATATCCCAGTGATGTTCTCCAAATCAATGTGGTGGTATAAAGAGATAGCAAATCTTCAAGCTCAGCTGAAAGACATCAGGAACCTCTGTGGGACTCACATGTTTGAGCAAACCTAATAGACAAGGTGAGTATTTCAGAATCTGTTAAGTTGTCAGGCAGGTCAGGCGAGACTGCTCACAACTACCATATGCAAAGAGGTGCTTGGATTAGGAGTGTCTAGTGCATGCAACTGTTTTCACAGGCACCCACTAAAACTGTACAGACCTCACAAATAAATTTAAAAGTAGAGTTCTTCAAGGTTGGCTTTTTGAATCTTTGCTTAAAATAAGTGACTTCAAAACTGGGAGTTTAGACATCCCAAACAGGAGCTTATTGGACACATTCTTTGTGTTGTTACTTGTACCACCACTATGACGGTGAGTTTTAGCTATAATTAAAAATCCATCTGTCTGGAAGCTACATGAAGCAGAATAGATATTTTAGGTCTTAAACAGCTTATTGCTGGTAGGCTGTAAATATTACAGTCTCTTACATGTTTGTTTCTAATTCTTTCATTTCCTACAAAACATAATTTCATCTTTCAAACTATTCTGTCAATCTTTTGAGATCTATTTTCCCTCGATATACAGGAAGGAGGGAGACAAGGTTGAACCAGGCTGACTCATCAAAAATTGTGTTGCAGAAGTTGAGTACTCAGGATAGTCTTTATCTTTCAGGATCTGAAAATTTCTGATTAGTAATTTTTCACAAATGCACTTGCATAGACAAAATTTCAAAAGCATTTCCACTTGTAACAAGGAATATTTGTGTTTTACATAAATAGTTGCAACTTACAGGAATAATTTGGCCACACACCCCAATAGGTTCATGTCTTGTAAATGTAAAAAAGTTTCCATCTATGGGACAAAGAAATAATTAGACATGCAGACAAAGCATTTGTGAGAGATAGTTAAATCAGAAGGATGATAAAGTTGGATACAAAACTTAGCTGGATACAATTTTACTTATAAATGATATTTTCAAAATTTTAACTATGAAAAGATCCATAAAGCACATCTGGATTCAATGCCTACTTTCTTCGTCCAAGGTTTTTTTTGCCAGTCTGACTGACTTTTTGCAATGATAACCCTGCTTCTCAATGTAGTATGCACAGCACACCAATGAGCATTCTTAATTTCTTTTTTCTTTTATCGCCTTTTTTTGTTTCAGAAAGTGCTCTTTTAAATCCTAGGTACATATCAGACATTTTTTAATATCAGGTCTCAGCTTAAATCAAATCCATTAAGTATAAAGTTCTCTTTGATTCAAACAAACATGTGCTCCGTTAAGCCCAGTATAGAGATCTACGTGATGCAAAAAAAGTTGGAAGTATTTATCACTCCAGTTTTCCTTAATTCCTTCTTTATTGCCATTCTTTGCTTTGTCCTTCTGAGAAAAGGTGGCTTGAGAGACAATGTTTTCACAGAGCTACATAATGGGAAAGGGAATAGAGTGAAATTTTAGCAAAATACCCTTTCCTTCTTCCTATCTCTTAGTACTTACTCTTCCTAGTACATTATCCAATAACTGAAACAAATATTACTTCTTTGTGCTAATTTTAGCTTTAATAAGCAAATACCTGGTTTTCACTACTGTAGTCTTGCATACATTTCTATGCAAAAGTACACTACAGGTTTCTGAGATATACATACAGGTTAAATTTATTGGTCAATAAACAATACTGGTTAGTAGTGTATAGAACAAGAAATAAATGTTAAGCACTGCACTAAATGTTTAAACTGAAAACTGTGATAAATCTTTAATAACCTATATTAAAAACTATCTAAAACATTTTCCATTTGAGATATTTTCTGTGTAGCACAACTTTTAGATAAGTCAGTTATTTACAGTTCTCATTGGCTTCAGTTCTGTACTTTTGTTATCTCAAAAATACTCACCCATTGGAACAGTACGCCCATGGATTTTATCAGCCCAGCCTGCGCAGTAGCGTAATGATTTGACACAGGCACCTAAGTCCATTAGGTAGGCAGTGGAAAAGAGTTTCCCACCGTTAATGGCTTCCATTGTCTGTAATTAAAAAGTTAATATCAAATACTGATAATGGTTCTTATGCTTGTACTTTGTCGTTTAGCTTTTGGTAGTTCAGGCTGAGGATTTTTGTCTTTAGTATAAACATTTAGATTAATTCCCCTCTGAAGGACACAGTATTTGAAAAACTTAAGATAGCAATTTACAAGCGAGAAATGTTCATGATGGTTTATTTGTTTGGAGCTATGCAGGTAGCATTATCATGGCAAATTTGTAATGTTAAGATGTACTGAAAAAACAATAATATTTCTCCCATCTGAATCAGTTACACTGTTCTAGTTTATATTAAGTATTCTGCAAGCATAGGTCAAGAGATCAGGTTCCTACCTGTGCAAGTAACTGATGCAAATAAAATGAGTGGTCTTCCTCGCATATCAGCAAGAAGACTCAAATCATGGCATATAATACCATAACATATATATATATATATGTATGTATGTATATATATATATATATTTGAATTACATGGCATATAACCCTAATGCCTGGAGTGTTTGATGAGCAAAAGAATTATCTGAGTCAGTTAGAACTCCTAACAGAAAAAATAACTATGAAAAATAAATATTTACACAGAGGTGACTCTCTTTTATTGGCTAACTACCAGCTGAGTGATCTAACTGGTCTAATTTGAAGCTAAACCTGATTCTCCATGCCAGGCAGATATAAACTTTTACAATAATGATCAGTAAATATTCATTCAACGTCTATAACTCTTCAGCGGGCCAGTTCTGCTCCACCCACGGAAACATCAGCACTAAATAGGGTTGATTTTCAGCCAAATCCAAGGAGTGTGGTTTGGATTATTGCCATTTCCATACCCCTAATTATTGGGACATCTAGTTAAAGACCACATGCAGTTCTTAAATAGTGTTAACATTTTTTTGACACCCCTAATTTTTTTTCCCCTAGTTTTCCAAAACAGAGACACTGAGGACCTCCAGCTTTGTTAACAATCCTGTTATAACATTCAGTAGCAAAAACCCTGACTATGGTTTCTCGATCTAATCAGGTCTTAGAAATACATTTTCCTTTTCTAAATTTGTTGGGATTCTTTAGCATTTCAGGTTGGATCTACAGACTGATCCTTTAAGAACAGTTTTTCAACAATAGTGCCCCAGTGAAGTCTACAGTTTTAGTTGACTGGACACTTTTCAGATATCATACTTGGGAAGAGAACAGAAAAAACAGAGAAGACAGCAATTTTTGATGGCTTTCTGCAACAAGGAACTGATTAAATGAGATATGCCCTTGCCGTTCCAGGCAATATGTCTGGCGCTGTTTTGTTCTGTTTGGAAATGGGAGAAAATTATTCCCTGTCCTCAAACTTATGAATCTTCTACCTTTCAACTTCACAAAAGACTGAAACATAAGAAACACAATTCTCAGTGGCTTTTTCAGTCCCCTGCTTTGACTTATTGTTCCATTCACCTGCCTGCAGGGCTGTTGAGCCTCTGAAACATGTTATCATTAAACAAAACTGTAAAACAGAGTAATTTCAGCCTGGTCAGATGCATGAACACAGGACAATACCTCTGCAATGAGCTCTTGGGATCTATTTTGATCTCTAGTGTACTCTAGGGCTAGAGATATAGTGATCTCTAGGGTTATTTGTTATTCTGTAGTACTAGTTTTGCAGGTAGGATAAGCTGTGAGTGGAGAAAATCTCCCTTCACTTTGATGAAGTCTGGAAAGCAGTTCATTCAAACATACCTTATCTAAAAGGGGAAATGAGTAAGTCAGTAAGATGTAAGAAATATAAACAAAGTCAGTAAATTAGAAACTAGGGAGGGACCTCAGAGAAAAGCAATACTTTCATTTTATGAAAATGGCAAATGGAAACAAAAACTAACTCAATGTTTTTTCCTGTAGGAAAAATAAATTATTATATCTTCATCCTCTTTGAATTTATAATGCCTTGGGTGCTACAATAAAGAAACAAATGCCAGCTTATTCAATATTTAATTGAATTATTTAATTCAATTATTTAATCCTATTAAAAATGTACCTCTGCTATAATTTTGTCTCTCTTATCTCAAATAAATCTAGCCTTGTAAAAGATGTAAGTTCCAGCCACCCGAGATTTCTCCTGAGAAACTATAGTACAGTCATAAGGACATATAATGGGCAATAGATGCTTTGTAGTTTTATGTATTTGAAGGTTTAAATTTTATGAGCTTATCAACAGTATGGTTTATGGCTAATGGCTAAATACTTCAAACTGTAGCTGGATCAGTCTGAGTGATGATAATTCTTCTCTTTAAATTTTTTTACACCATTGACAGAAAACCAGTATTCATCTTCAGTGCAAACAACAATCCTGCCGAAATTTTAATTTCAGAATGTTCTTGAAATAGCATCATATGTGGGACGTAAAACAAGGGGAGAGATGCATTTCTATTTTACATGTTATTTCTTGACAGTTCACTATCTGTAGGTGGGGGTGTTACAACTTAAGTGTTTGCTGTTAGGTGTAGTAAAATAGCCAATACATAGTACTTGGTGAAGACAGGACATCATTCCCTACCCCTCATGTTCTTCTTCCCTTTAAATAATTCATTGATGCCTTTGGTTTTGATTACCAGTTTCAAACTGGAGTTAATGAAGGACCAATGATAATGAAATATATAGCCACAAAATTCAAAATTTCTCCCAGTTCTGACTTGTATCATCTATAAGCACTGAGCCAGGCTTTTTGTTTAGGCTTTGATTCAGGCTTTGATTTGTGTTTAGGCCTCTGTTCTGACTTTGGTGTAGAAAAATGTTAACCATGTGATCTATGTTAGTATGTCCTTAAGAATCAGCAATTCAAATTACTGTGATTGTAGGTAGTTTAAGTATCACTTTAAAGTGATCAAATATTCAAGTACATTTTGGATTTGGGGTGTTAATAGGTCAGAGTACAACACAGCTTACTGTGGTCATTTTGCTGTAGAGATGAAAAACAAATATTAAGAAAGCATGACTTTCCAGAAGGAAGGCACATTACACTTCCTTGTATCTTTCTTTAAATCAGGACTTTTGTCCCATTTTTTTTTGTTCACATATTATACTCACAGCTAAAATCAGCCGATCTCTTTCAACTAAGTCAGCTAGTTTATTCAAGAGCCTTCCTCGCTCCGAAGCATCCATTGTACGCCAGGGTGACCCAAGCTCAAAAGCCTTTCTAGCTGCTTTAACTGCCTTGTCTATATCCTCCTGTGGGGAAAAAAGAGAAACTTTTAAAATCAGTAATTGATTCTGTCATCAGTCTTTTTGGCTGTTACTTATGTGAAGTTTAACTTGAAATTTAACTTAAATTTTAAATAAGAGAAACCAAGACCAATCTAATCAAAATTGGTACAGTAATTTTAAATGCATGGGTTATTTTTTTTTTTCAAACACTTCTGTTGCTATATTAACAATGTGAAATTGTATGAGAAACAGGTGGTCGGTTCTCAAAGCTTCTAAAATAAAAGCATATTAAGGAACTCTATTTTTAAAGTTTATGTTTTCAAGCCCTCTTCATACAACAAAATATTACACTGATGATACAATTTATTCTCTTTTATTTACAAAGAGATGCCCAAATCTGCAAGTTAAATGTTTAATTATTTATCATCTAAAACTATTTTGTGATGTAGTGAAGACCAGGTTAGAAAAATCTGTGCTTTAGTATGTTTCGTAAAATGAACACAAATTTATTATTGAGGAAGACAAATTAATACATTTATTTTGTGAATTTTTAAGAAAAATCTATGTTTAAAATTATTTTGAAAATTAAAAAAAGCACCCGGTTTAAAATGCTAAGCTTAAATATTTTGAAATCTAAACATTGTCTTTGAATATGTCAGCTAGTTTGTCAGTCCATTAATAGTTTTTATAGCATATTTTGTTATTTATCATTTGGCTTTCACTGTAGAAGGAAAATCTATGATGAATTATATGTAACTATTCTGTGCAAATGGTGTTCCAGGATTTAAAAAAAACCCCAAAATTAAAAATCTCTTGTGAGAAGGTTTTAGCACTTGGAATTCTCCTATATTTCATAATTCTTGTAAAACTTTACCCAGGAAAACAATGACATAAAAAGGTGATTTATTCTAGACTTTTTTTTGTTAGAAATGAAAAACAAATTTCAAGGAAAAAAAAAAAAAAGAAGTTTCTGTGTGTGTCAGATTTCCCTGAGAAATTTGTGTGCAATGTTTGAAGGATTTCTTTCAAACTTTTTTGTGCTGCTGTTTGCTAATCAGTGCTTTCTTCTCCAGGGAAAGCACTATCAAGGTTGACTAAGTCAGCAAAGTCAATTGAGTTAACACCAAAATCATTAGTTTTAAACATGAACCAGATCTTAAATCTTTAACTGATGTTGATAGCCAGGAACACATTTTTAAAAGCTGTGAGTGAGGTGGGTTAGTGGCTTAGAAAGCTCAGCACAGACCTGTTAAACAGGAGGCCCACAGAACTTCCCAATTTTTTTTCCAGGAAATTCAGGAAAAGGTAGTAAGGAACTATACAAATAGCATAGCCATTACTATAGGATCATACTGACCAGTCACCTACATCAGGTAGCTGAAATCTACCAGTTTAAGAAGAATTGCACTTCTTCAGAATCTTCAGAATGTTGCCAAATACATCATCACTCTCTGTGAACCCTGTCATAAATATTCTATAGCTTTGTAATATGACTTGAGGGGTTATGGCTTAGCCTTTACTGGAAAAGGACAAGGGGGAAACAAAAGTCATACTAGTACAAATGATGTAAATTAAAACTACAGTACCATGTGTTCTTTCTACTAGAAGTGCAGAAATAATTAAAACCAAGAGAAATAAGATAAAGGTTTTAAAGGGCCATGAATGAAAAGTAATAAAAAAATTATTGTTCTTCAACAGTATGAAATTTATTTCGGGTACATAAATCTACACTTATGAGTATAAAGACTCTTTTCTGGGCCAGTTTAGACTTTTTTATATTTAGTTTATGTACATTTACTTTACGTACAGTGACCATTTGTTGAACTGTTTTATTATTACTAGGGGTCTTTAGGATTAGGAATGCAGTTTGAAAGAGCCATCAAACTGAAAGGGAACAGTTCTCACCCACATATATGTCTGTGCTTTGTAATCTCCTCTTGTTTCTTGAAAAATACTACTACAAGGAATGGGACAGTCTTTTGTCAGCCCTGTTCTATGCACAAATTAAATGCCTAAAATCTTTTGACTCATTTGCAGTCTAGGCTCTAACATATTAGGTTCATAATGGCTGTGTAATTTACTAGATTTGTACAATTCACTTGGCAATTTAGTTAATAGCAGTTGTCATTACACATTAGTTTGCAAAATTATTGAAGAGAAAGAAAACCTGATTGTCGAATAGTATTATCTCTTTATTTAATGAGTTGCTGGAGTGCTGGTAAGGAAAGAAAGCTACAAAACTTTTGTATAGTAACTGAACAGTTGCAAGTCATGAGTAATTTAATTTGAGGATGATCAAATATCACTGTTTCAGCACTAGATATAGGTAAGTGGGACTAAACAAAAGCAAGGCCTTTGAAAAAACTCCTGGTTAGATATATGAAATAATTAAAAACATACTTTCTCATGTTTTTCTAGAAAAAATTTAAAATGTGTCTTCATTATGACCTTCTTAGAAGTTTGTGGTCACTATTGCTCATGTGCTAGACAGCCTTAGAGACAAAGTTTATTAGGAGATTCATGGTGAAATTATGGACCAGAGTAACTAAGATTTAATGAGTGAATGATTCTGAATGTATTTCTCAAAAGAGAATTTCATTTCAGATTGAATCTTTGTGCAGTAAATTAAAGTATTCTGAAAGAGCCCATGCTTACTATATTGGCAATAAATTTTTTATGAGCTTATAACATGCATAAGCAGCTTATAAGTTTTACAGTATTTCCTGGATAAAAAGGTGTTTAATGAATATTTTACTGCTAAGCTTAAAAAATGGTTGTATACAAAACATTCTAGGTATGCATTTTTCTTTACTTAAATAACATCATTTTGTGAGAAATGTGAAAAAATTTTCTCATTTTTGGATGTAAAAAACTGACCTTGAGGGGAAAAGTGTAAAAAATGAAACAAATGAATGAATGAATGAATGAATAAATAAATAAATAAATAAAAATGAAATAAACCAAATCAGTAATTATAAAAACAATTTCATTTCCAGCTACAGTCATCTTTGAACTAGAAACAGAGCCTTCACTTCTCATACTTGCTTTCTCAGAGTTTATAGAAAAAATTGGTCATCACTTTTAAAACTGTTCAGCAACATTGCCTGTCCTATTTAAATAACTACCCTTCCCCCAACTTGATAACTTACATTTAAACTATATAGTAGCACTAGCTAAATCCTTTTCATGAGAAAAGCAAGTAATATAACAAAATATAGATCTTAGCAGTTAGGTTTTCAATATATTTTTGATTACATGGCATCTATCTGTAATTTTCCACTAGAGAATCTCATAAATACATACAAAAAATGTTTGTAGGCAGTTTTCAACAAGTTTTTTAGTCCTCTGCCTAAATTCATTGATTCAACATGTTTTAAGTAGATCATTTTTGGTAGAATTAGTGACTACTTCATAGGCCACATTCAACTTCATTGTTTTTTAGGACCACGTTCCAATATATTTTTCCAAATAAAATATTTGAAGGGGCAATACTGAGAAGACCTATTCTTAAAAATGCTGATGGTAATAATCATCTTCACAGAGTCTGTGTGGGAAATTATAAATATTTGCCTTCTTCATATTATCTATAATAAAAAGTTTTATATAAATGTGTAATGAACAGGTTACATTACTGACTAAGGAAGAGCAAGAAAAAATAAAAAAACCTCCCAATTTAGTTTTTAGATGTCACTGATCACAGATAAGAAAAAGAATTTATAATATTAGTAAGAAAAACCCAGCAAAAAATATTTCTTTAGATCTTTTCTTATATGAGCGAGATCCTAAGGTAAATCAGTTTTTTCACTGTCTCTTTTACAAAAAGTACTGTGGCTTAATAAAAAAAAAAAAAGATAAGAATTATTTTGCAGAAGAAGTGTACAGAATGAAGTAGGTACATGCCTAAGGTGGTTACATCACAGAGATGGCTGCTTGCCTTACTGCTTTTAAGATGAAGAAGTAAACTTTAAGTTAGAATTAAGAGCAAGAAAGAAAACTCTACCTTGTCACCTTCTTCAACCTCACAGATTTTCTCTTCATTTGCAGGGTTAAAGACTGCAAATTTTTTACCACTGATCGAATCATGCCACTCATTGTTTATAAATATCTGCAGGGGAAGAAAAAGTGCAACAATATTAGTAACACATATATAACTGTTTGTCATCTGCTTTGGTGAATAAACCTATCTTTCATACCTGAGAGCTGCCTGATTGATAGATACCTGAATTAAAATTGTAATAGCCGTTTCTAAATTATTCTGAAGAGTTAAGTTATCACATGTTAGCATAACAGGGATCAGCCTTTTAAAATTGCCTTCTTTTGAAGAGGCAAACTTTCTCTACATTATATTTTTCTTTGTTTCATATCATAAAAATATGCTGTTACAAAGGGGTCCTTCCCTTCTCAAACCGAAATCTGTGATGTGCAAGGGAGGTACATCCCTAAATGACCTACCTAGAACTACCTGGGTTTTCTGTGCTCACAGGGTTGGTAAGGATGGAGGGCCTTCTTGTTACACAGCCTGACAGAAGGAGACCCAATCCTTGGGGTTAGTGAATATAATACCTTAAATTAGAAGTATCTTGGAGAGCACTGTTGTATTTAGGTTTACTTTGATTTTTCTTCACTCTCTCCTGCCAAAGAAAATAAAATCCCAACCAAGACTAAACCAAACCAAATCAAAAGCCCCAAATAAGCAAAACCAACAGCATAGTTTTCTGAAATTCAAGTTGAGACTGAAAAACCCTCTCCACAGTCAATTGAATGAAGCACAGAATCACAGAATGAATAAGGTTGGAAGGAACCACAGTGGAACCATATGGTCCAACATCTCAGGTCAGGCAGGATTATCCTAGAGCACACTGCACAGAATTGCATGTGTAAGGATCTCTGGGTGAAATCTGAGGTACTTGTCTCTGCTCACAAATGCAAAATAGAACATAGGTCTCACATGTGGATGCACGAGATCTGTACAACTCTAGAGCCTGCCATACGTGAGGCACTCTTGGTAAATTGTTGGAGGGGGTTAACTTTTTCTTACTGTAGGTTAGTCTCAAAACAGGCTAAGAAAGGAAAGGCTTTTTGGGAAGACCTGATAAATGCACAGCTGTTGAAGAGAGGAGACTATGTTGTTAAGAACTGTTATGTAGGTTGCTCTTTGAAGTGAACATGATAAGGTATGCAGTCTGATGTTAACAGTACCTGTCCTTCTCTGCCTGACCATCTCTGTGATCTCTGGATCAGTGATAAAGTGGGGTCTCCACACTAAGCTGCCCTCCCAATGCTTGAGCCCACCTTCCTGGTGCTGGTGGGCTGGTGCTCTCCCTTCTCACTCTCTCCCAACGCCCCTGCGTTGCTGACATGCATGTAAGGTCTTGCTCATACTCATCATTGAGACCATGTCAGACTCTGACTGACAGTACCAAGTATTTTGAGCTCAAACTGTGCCTCTCTTTATGGTTAAGGTGTCTTGCCTCACCTTTAGTCAGTGGAGCTTAGCCATTGAGACCAGCTAGCAGAAAAGATATGATTCCTGTTTCCTCTCCATTAGGATAAAGGACCTAGCATTGCTGCTTAAAGTAGCAGGAAAATTGAAATAGAAAACCAGAAAATACTTTGGGGCAGACAAAGTCAAGACACCAGAACTACAGGATAAATACTTCCTGTCACACAGACCTGGGGACTAAACCCTTCCACTACACCCACATATGTTATGAAAATGTGTCTGATTTCAGGAAATAGATTTTTTTGCATAGTGTTCAAATTGCCTACACTGACTGAGTGGTAGTCAATAATTAGGGAATATTTTGTGAATAATGATCAAGATCAATAAAATACTATATCTGAATAAATGGATATGGCAACAATTTGCCATTTAATATATTTTATTTAAAATATTCCTGTATGTTTCAGATTGTCTTTATGTGGGCACCTTATACAGGCTGTCATTGTAATGTCTGACCATCAGGACTGACCAGCAAACTCCTGATTTAACAAAAGCTATCAATCACTGGAAAGTCCCTGGAAATTTCAGACAAGTGATGAAGCTGGTTATAAGATTATCCACACAAAATTCTGACTGTGGTGAAAGGAGAAAGACAGCAGTTAAATGGTTAAATGTGCAACACCCCCCTCTCCCCCCCATCTAGACATATTGCCAAGAAAAGAGACAAAGTAAAAGGTAAATATTAACATAACACTGCTATGATGTTACAGTATGCTAAATTCATATCTGTCCATGAAAGGAATAATAGCAAAACATACCATTTTTGGAAATTTTTAAAGTGTTTGTTTAAATACTACATTTATTGCACCAACCAATATTGCCCATAGTATTAGTTTAGAATATATCTCTTATTGATGTTTCTAATACCGTTTCTGTTTAAAACATAACTTCGCTATATTAAATATATATACAACATCATAACAGGGCTGTATAAATCAAACTATCCAGATGTCTTTCATAAGCTAGATAGCAGCCTTGGAAATGCAGGTATGAAAGACAGAAAAGAGAAAGAAAAAGTCAAAACTCTACAAGTAAGGTGTATTAATACATTGCAGGCAGCTGTACATGTACACGTGCATTCAGCCATGCTCATTAAATGCTGTGGAGTATTTGCTACAAACAAAAAGGATATGGATCTCTAAATCAAGGCAACATCAAAGTACCTGCAGACAGCAACCTCTAACAACAACCTTGACTGAGAAAAATTATGTTTGGGATCGTCTTGCAATAGTTTACAGTGTTTTGTCAGTCAATCAGAACTCCACTGACATCTAGAGTAACATAAATGCAACCCTTCTGTGGCATGTGCTGTGCAGGGCTTTGTCTGTGATGACTGACTATGGCCCATGAGGTTTAGGAGTACAATTTTGTTTTGCAAGGATTTAGAAATGTCGTTGCAGGTATTTTGTAAGTGTTACTTCACTGGAATTTTAGGAGAGAAGATGTATTTTTATTTCAACTACACAAAGTATTAATGACTTTCAGGTTTCTTTGCAGTAGAATTGGAAATACACATTTCCTGTAAATGAGACTGTACACTACTAAAGCTTAGTGTTTCAAATAGAGCCCATCAACAGGCAGTCAAACCCCTCTGACTGTCTTTCTTTCACAATGACAGAGTGCTGTAAAATCTTGTTTCTCTGAAACGATTGGTTTCAGTTCAAATATCTAACACCATTCACCATTTGGGGTTGAAGTTCCCTGCAAGACTACAATATTTCTATCCTTTTTACACAATTGATTTCATCATTCAACTGACCTGAGCAGAGAATGGGGAGACAAGACCTGAACTTTATCTTTTTTTTTCTGTCATCTTAGTGGTTTCGTTTCGTTCAGTCCTGGAATATTTTGAAAAGACTGTGAGTTCATAATACAAAAGTATCTGCTAGATGGGAAGTGCCATAATTGTGTCTGTGCTGCATGAGGGAAGCTCATGCTGACTCCGTACAGCTTTGTTTCAGATGGACCGCACCACAGCTCTACTGAAATAAATTTTAGGGCCCTTGCATTAGGTGTCATCACTTTATAAAACATAACTTTTTGCTGAATCTTCCTTAGAATAAGAATCCCCTTTTTGTTGTTTCAGTATTTTACAAAGTCTGTACAGGGATTCAAGCTTCAGTGCTTCTGCAAAATGACTTAAAAGTGCAGCTTAAAGAAGAAAGTACTTAATTTCTGATGTAGCAAAGATCCCGTTTCAGCATCTGTCTATAAACTTATTCTTTTCTAGGGAAGAATTTTAATGTAATTCACTATTATTGTTAAAAATAATACAGAAGTGTAGTCAAGAAATGAAATAGAACCAATTAAAATGTGGACTATTCCTAACTTAGCTATTAAGGATAACTTTGTAAACATGAAATTAAATTTCTAAGCTATCTTCTATTTAGATATCAAACTTATTGTACAAGAAAAAGCAAAACCTCTTCCGCCCATAAATCTGCCCCTTGCTGTAATAAAGTTTTTCTTCTCAATACTTTTCAAATGAGCCCCGTTGACTGTTTCACGAAGATAAAAGGGACCAACAGATTTGAACAGCTGCTCAACCGACTGCTCACAAGCTTTCTAGTGCAGACTGTAAACCAGGGAATTACACCAACAGCATTTTTTTACGGGCCAGGAACAGAGAAGAGACATCAGGGCTGAGTTTGGATGCATGCTGAAGGCAGTTCAGCACCACTAAGGTGAGATGATGCGCAGTGCTGAATAACTGCTGGCACTCATGTATACCTGCTCTTAGAGATTATGGCAGTCATTCAGATATTCTTGAGTACTGTAATATGCTAACATTTACTTGGCAGTAAATTTTAGAGATACATCTAGACCTTAAAGATTTGTGGCCCAAGAGGAGGCACATTTCAAGTGTTGTAAATTCTAACATACCAGTCTCAAAATACATTATGAAGTCTCGCTGTATGCTTTAAGCAATAAAATTAAAATATGCAATATTATTTAAGGAACTACTAAAGAATGAAGTTTTAAATTTAAGCAAATATGTCAGTATAGAATATCTGCTGTGAAATCTTATTTTTTCCCACCGCAGGTTTTTCCTTACAAGAATCTTATGTTTGGCTAATATTTCATGTAACTTTTTTCCCCTCCCTTGAAATTGTATGCTATTATTGATATAAGAATTACATTTTACTGTTGCAATGAGCTAATAATCAGAGAACACACTCTTTCTATTCAATACTTATGTAAATTTTTTTATTTGTCAGTAAGGGGCTTTATGTCTACAAAGCAAGCTGATCTGAAAAAGAGTGAGTTTCTATAGTACCTTTCTAGCTGATTACCTTTCCCCAGATATTCCAAATATATTTTTGTGCTTTTCTGCCTCATGTTTGTTTTGAAGCTAGTGATGCAACATATTGATTCTCAGCTATGATTTTCTTTATTCAGGGTGGCTTAACCTTCCACACTTTCTGATATTCCACATGCAGATTAGTGAGAGAATGTTCAGTCATCTTCTCCCCCTCATGTAATTTGACAACCTAATAATTAACTAATCTGAGTTTCTCTGATTAAAGGAGTACCACAGGGCTTAGGGTATGTGAAAGCATCATGACAGAAAGTATTTGTCACACAACTATTGTCTAATTCTTCAGTGTTGACTAAGTAAAATATTTACTAGTATAGTTTTAGCTAGCTACCAAAACTTTTTCAGTTCACGGGCATATCTTTAAAGGAGATTCAGATATGAAACCAATTCAAGATCACTTTGTGGTTCAAAATCCAAGCCAATTTTAGTGTTTAAAATACTTCCATTTGATGATTGAAAGTGAAATTCCCTGGAGTGTTAAGTGTTATACTAGTATACATGTTACATATGAAAAAGGATTAATCTGAAATGTAGCTATACCTACCTATAAATCCAGATTCATATGGAAATACTTAGTTAAATGAATTCTGTGAAAGGCCTCAAATGATCTCTCTCATAGAAAATAAACAGTGCTAAGTAAAGAGGAAAGTACTTGAACATCTTCTGAAGACCTCTCTTCAGATTCTCATGCAATGGCTGTTGATATTATGTAATGGTAGGAAAAGAAAAATTAGAGTGTACAGAAATGAAGGATCTGATCCTACGTGCTTCAGACAGAAAGGGTAATACATCAGCAGTAATTAGTGATTCCCTTGTCTCATCCTTTCCATTGTAAGCAGTCACCCACCCCCTATGTTCTAACTTCTCTAACAGGAGAGGAACAGGATGGGTGAGAAGGTAACAGCGGAAAAGCTTTATTAAATTGTGAGATGAGTGCTGGATATGGGCCAGCATTTCTAATATCCCAAATCTCTGTCTCTCAGTAGACTGCTGTGGCTTTCAGATCATCCTATATGGTGTTTGAAGACAGAAGGAAGGCATTGCAAAGATCAAACCTCCACAAGGGTGTGTTGGATTTTGCAAACCAGTGCACTGCATTTCTGCACAGGTACAAATTATATATACAACTTTATTGCAAAGGCAAAAGAAATATTTGGAATGTGACACTCTCCTTGATTGCACACTACAAACTACAGACTTTTCAATTGTCTTGGCTAGCTGTCTTATGGTTGCTTTTTATACTAACAGAATAGATTTTTACTAGTGAAATATTTTAGAAGGATGAAAATCTTTACAGGAATTTATATCTTGAATATTCAGTTACATCAGTCAGTGTTTTGCTCATATTAGTTGACTTCCTCCAGAAAACTAAAAAATCAAAGAGTAAAAAACTTTTTTTTTTTATTTTTGAGACAGGAAGAGCAGTAGTGGGCTATCACGTGGCATGGCAGAACTACATAGCTTTCCTAGTCTGTTAAATATTTACAAAGTAGGATCCTGTGTGATTTATTCAAGAAAGATACGCATTGAAATCTGCTCGATTTTTGCCATTAAAAAAATAGGATAGAATGTAATTCAAAAGGACTAATTTAGATGATTGCTGAATACCTTGCTTTTGGAAAAGAAAATAAGCAGTGGCTCTAGAAAATAATATTATTTCCCTTGCAACAGTATCAAGAAAAAAGGAACAGTGATAAAGGAGTCTCCAAAGATAAGAGGTCCTTTCTGATCAATTGTTCTACCTGAATGTTTCAGAGAGTAGAGTTTCGATATTCTCTGCCAACACTTTTTTTGAAAATTCTAGGAGATATCTGTGTTTTATGATATGATATTATGGTATAAAACAGGAAAAGAGTATTTTCAAGTTGGAAACACAAGTCTGGATACAAACCTTCTTTATCTGTATATTTCTAAATGTATATGGAGAAGAATTTTTTATTTCAAAAAGTTTATGGCAATATTGAGTAGTTAGTGTTGGTAGACTTTATTAATAGCTACTTGTTTAGGCTGAAAAACAGATTCATTATCTCTAAGGTTAACATGTGAGCAGAATTATTTTTATTTTAGTTTCATTTTCACATATCCCTTTCCACATATTCTTATTAGGTATAATTATTTAAATCTGATCATAACATGATGCAATATGCTGGCATTTTAGTTCGCTCTCACTCTTCTGAAAATTAATATAATAGTAGAAACCTTTCCTTCTTTACTTCATTTATACTTTCTGAGAAACTTACCACTGCTGAAAGTTTGTTTCAGGAGAAAAACAACACTCACCCTAAATTAAATATGGAAAGATTGTATCATTCTTACACAATTAGGTGCTTTAACTTAGGTTAAAAGGATCACTGAACATCAATTGCTAGAATGTGTAAAATCAGAACTCGGTCAGAACAAACATTTTAAGCACTGATTTACAGTGGCTTCCATAGTATATAAGGTTAAACTGAGCACATCCTACTAAGTTGAATGCATAAGAAAGATTAAGAAATGCAAATGCTACTAACCTTGGTGTACTTAATTTTCAGATCTTTGATTGGTTCTGGCAGAGCTGGCATAACTGTAGTAGAATTGCTGTCTGAACCTTGCTTCTTCATGTTTTCAGTTGAGAAGTTTGAGGATGTTCCTGAAACACAGGTGAAATGAGGTATAAAGGAAGTGGAGTGATTTTTGTCCTGACTGAGCCCCTAGCTTTATTTGTGCTTTTTTATCTGAACCAGCTATGGTATATTTGCATACAGGAATATGATTGGATGAAAGAATTCATTGCAAAGAGAAAATGACACTACCTATTTTTATGACCGAAAGCAACAGCCTTTTCACTGAGCTGAGATTTCGATGAAGCAAACACTGCTGAAACAGTCTGCTTAGGCAGACACTACGAATTCCTTACTGGGGAATAGAGTTTTAGGACTCCTCATCTTACCTGTAAAATTGCTTTCTCTCAGCAGGCAGGTGCCCAGATTTAATGTAGAGTTCTTCACGTACTTGAAGGCAGCTCTGAAGGTAAAGACAGACCTGTTAGCTCTGGAAACAAACTAAGCCCTTCTCACTGGAGAGTTGATGAGAATAATTACATGAGCTAGAAAGCATTCATTAAAAACAAGCCACTTTAGATTACATTTTAATATGTTCAGGGTACATTTAAAGTACTGGAATTAATGTCTGTTGTGGAGATCATAGAGATAAGGGAAGACTATGGTGTTACAAAATCCTTCACATATTTTTCAAGAAATGTGAAGGTAAGAAAAAAAAAAGATCAATCCAGAAAATCTCTGTGGGCAGAACTGAGCAAACATTTGCTGCTATTTTTTTTCCAGATAATACCACAAATTTAAGGACAAATTTTTTACCACAGTACCCTTTGGAATAACTGAGTTCAAAACAAATCATTCGATAGACAAGATTCTTCTACACGGGTGAAATCCACTGGTGCATAAATGTCCTGTTCTGATTATTCAATGAGAAAGGTATCTCTTCTACAGGCAAATCATTTTATAAGGCACAAGAAACTCCTTTCTTCATTAAGTCCTACCTTTTCTGATTGGTGGTCTACCAGAACTTGTTTTTCTATGCTAGGCTTCTGATATATGCACTGTGGATTAATGCCATAGAAATAGAGAGAAATGATCTCATTGCTTTGACTGAGACTACACAGATGCTTGTAAAACTCACTGCACACATTTAACTCATGTATCAGGCATCATCTACACCATCTGTCAATAAAAGGCCTTTAACTGACAGATGAGATAGGATATATCACAAGATTAATCTTGCCATACATTAATTATATTTCACATACTTTCTGAATTAAAGGGCATGCCTTAATTATTATGGATGATTTTTGTGTTTGGACATATGGTTTGAGCAAGAATTTCTGAACTTTAGAAAAGTTCAAGTTATTTCTGGATAAGAAAGAAATCTATTATCATGATAATCTTCTCTCAGTGAGATATAAAGAGCCATGTGGACTTAAACAAGTTTCAGCCATTCACCCTGTCATGTGAATGAAGAGCACCCATTCCTATTGCCGTAACATCCTGATATCCAAGGTTACCTTCTCGTTACTTACTCTGGCATGCATCCTTCAGGTCTTCTGCCTTAGCTGTCTGGTTTAAGACACCCAAGCAAAGAACAGTATATTTTAAAGTTTTGTGAACAGTACTTTCAGACCTTAACATTTTGGGTTACAGTGTTTGCCTGCCTTAGAGAATGTCTTTAAATTTCATACAAAACCCAGAATATCTAAATAGGGTTTATTCATTTCTATTTGGAATATAATTTTTCAGTCCTATTCTCGGGTACCAATTTTTTTTCTTTTACTTTTCCTTGTAATTTTCAGGTTTAGACACTAATGTCTACTCTAATAACCTTCCTACCACTCTTTTCTCCATTACCCACAAAGAGTTTGTCTCTGGTTAATTCACATGCCAATTGCTCAGATTTGCCTGACTGGATCTACAGAACAGAGATCAGTGGATTTATCTTGTTTCAACTAAAGCAAAAGATCTTTCTCCCAAATGATAGTGGTCTAAATGCATTCTCATATTTATGTACCACAGCATTCCTGATTTTTTTTAAAAAATATTCAATCTAGAATTATGATAACTGCTTTGGAAAATTTATTTATCATCTTTCCATGTCTATAAGGATGACCTGAAATCTCCTTAGAGATGTTACCCCGGGTAAAAGTTTCAACTTTTCCAAACACGCTGGCAATCATCTCTTTATTTTCCACACCATTTATTCATTTAACACATAGTTTGCCCTTATTTTTTTTTTTTGTGTTTCTCTCTTTCTCCTTGGATTTCATGAATCACCTTCACTACCATTCTTCCTGTGTGTCCTTTCTTTTCTCTCTAGACTTTGTATATTGTTGAAAAAGTCTTGTCTCTTTAAAAGTTTACTTGCTATCTTGAGCAATCCAGTTGCTCTTTCCTTGGACCTTATCTGTTGAGACTTGCTCCAAGCATTACCATTAATGTCAATAAACCCCTTAACTTCTCTGATGACTGATTTCCCCCCCTTTCTCTAGGAAACTATTACTTAGACAAACTGTTTGCATTCATCCCAATCCTGTCTCCAATAACTTTCCTATTTATTTTCAGCCTAGGAATGCTTTTAACCTAGTGTAGAAATTATTTAATTTTCCTCATATACCATGTTCTTGTTTATTATGGCTTCCTGCTGTTTTTATTCTGTGGCTTTTTTCCTCCATCCTGAATCACTACTTTTTCACATTTCACCTTAATAATGATGTACAGTTCAAGAATTACTAAGTAACCTCTACAAAGTTGCTATAATTCAAAACACTGAAGTTAATAATCTTCCATGGTGACTCACACACTATTGTCCAAAGTTCTCTGGAATAGGTGTTGCACAGAATATGCTGTTACACTCGACTCTTTGGTAGCTGTATTGCATCATCTATGCTGAATTTAGACTGAATCTCTAATACTTAAGTACATGCTTACACTTTATAAAAACCTTATAATAAAAAAAATCCTTTGAAAAATCTCTATTTAGACAATATCTCTGTTACTGAAAATCCTGATTATCTGAACAACTTTTTCCAAATTCAGATTATACATGGAATTAAGATAGGCAGTTGTTCAGTGATTCAAGCAGATTCCCTGCTGGTACTGACAGAAATGGGTATTAAGTCAGGAGTGGAAGATCAAGTGTCAAAAGCACAAAAATATATTTTAAAAGTGGAAATCATTGAGATTTGTGAAATCTGTGGACTCTCACTCTGAAATGCTTTATTTGATTTGTTAATCTTCCTTATGCCATCCATTAATGGCAGTAGAACAGAAACAGTAGTCACTTTTTGCCACTTTTGCCATTATAAATTTATAGTCCAAAGACGGTGGGATATTAAAGTTCTGAGAACTCTATTTGTGAATTACTGAAATCAAAATTACAAGATCCTCAAAGCTGCTGAACAAATTCCTTTAGTTCTGCAGAGCACTATCTTGCATTTCTGAAAATCCAGGTTTTTCTTTTATATAATTACAGGTATCTCTGACCCCAATTAGCAGTTCTTCACTTATTATAAAATTTCTGTGGCCTATAAAATCCTGGAGTGAGGCAGCTGACAGATGTATAACTATGTATTTGAGTTTGAAATTTGAATTCAATTACTGAAAATTCTTTCTCTTTTTGCTACATGGATGATAACAGCATATGATGAAATGTGTTAGAATATTCTCCATTCTCTTCACTCTCCTGACCAGTGAGAGGACTTGATGAAAAGGCATGAAGCTGAGTCAGGGGAGATTTATGTTGGATATCAGGAAAAGTTTTTTCACACAGAGGGTGAGTGAGCACTGGAACAGGGTAGTAGTCACAGCACCAAGCCTGTCTCAGTTCAAGAAGCATTTGGACAATGCTCGCGGGCACATGGTGTGATTCTTGGGGTGTCCTGTGTGGGGTCAGGATTTGTATTCAATGATCCTGATGGGTCCCTTCCAGCTCAGCGTATTCTATGATTCTACAATTCTATAATACCTCCACAAACAGGTCATAATACTAACTACTGTTTGGCTGATTCATGGAAACACCTTTGCTCCAGTAATGGCCAGATTTAACTTCCATTTGTTCACTGCAGTGAGGGAAGAGACAGCGCAAGAAAAACTAGTGCTACTAATTTTGTAAGCTTGGTATCAAAGACGCTGAATAACTTCTTGTTACTAGTGCTTGGGCTGATAGTGGATGCTGTCACGAGGCCTATTCTCTGCTGAATCCATAATAATGTTTTTGTCCAAGATACGCTTGCTGCAGGGAGGGACAGGTAAGTGTTTCCTGTCTTCTACACTGAAGCGTGCGTAACCACAGATGAATGTCTTTCCCACTCATGCAGAACCCCACCTGTTAGTGGAGCAAGATCTTTTCTTCTGATTCCATACACATACCAAACACTCTCTGTTCACCTGTATGATAAATACGGACCTTTGCAACAAATCCCTTTCATAACAGACAGCAAAGTATGACAACAATGCAAGAGAGAACAGAGCACCTAGGAAGGAACTTTGGGCTCAGCGTAGAAAAGTCTGTAATACCTACTCACTCATGGGCAGCAGTGTATTAACACATAATCACTGAGCACAGGGACACCAAGCTTAAACTGTGGACCAGTGGCTCTGTAAGTCAAGTTTACTGAAGAAAATCAGTCAAAAACCCTCTTTAGAAAATATTTCCACTCTTTGTTTTTGTTAGGGTGAAACAAAATGATATATCACGATTAGCTCAATGGAATGGGTCACACCTCAACAAATTTACATCGTAGTGATACAGCTATCTATGTCTGAGCTATGTATATAGCAACTCTCTGTAATCAGTGGTAAGAAGCACAAATATTTTGAAGCACGAATCTGTTCATTCCAAAGTACATAAAGTAGCTCAGTATCCTAGTAATCCAAACAGTATGCTATGTGTGAATAATTATTATTGGTCGCTATAAAGGAAGACAATTTATCCGCCTTTGATACAAATACCTTACTAGAGATAGGTGCTGATGTGTGAGGTGGTTTTCACTTTATTTTTTTCACCCACCACAGGGAGACGTCTTCCTAGCTACCATTTCTGAACTATACAATATTGCTTCTGGAGTGTAAATAAATTATTGGGACCAGTGTTGTTTAACTTCTATGTCAGCGACATGCATAGTAGGATCGAGTGCACCCTCACGAGGTTTGATAATGACACCAAGCTGTGTGGCACAGTCAACACTTTGGAGAGCAGGGATGCCATCCAGAGGGACCTGGACAGGCTTGAGACGTGGGCCTGTATGAACCTCATGAAGTTCAACAGGCAAAGTGCAAGGTCCTGCAGCTAGACTGGGGCAACCCAAAGCACGAGTACAGCCTGGGCAAAGAATGGATTGAGAACAGCCCTAAGGAGAAGAACTTCGAGGTGTTGATGGATGAGAAGGTCAACAGTCTTGGTAACATACACTGGCAGCCCCAGGAAGCTAGAACTATCATGGGCTGCACAAAT